AATCGAATGTCGGCGTTAACGAAATTTCACACGGCACGCGACACGAGATCGTCAAACGAAAGGCACCCGGGCAGGCTGCGTCATCCATCCGCGATGGCGTCACAGAATCCCTGCAGTGCAACAGTCGCGCCTCAACATCACCCTGACAGTCGTTCCCAACATTCAGATATTTTGGCGAGTTCCACGAAAACGTTAATCATGTTTGTTTAAAATGATTATTCAATCGCTTTCATTAAAATATTGTATTTTTAGCATAGGAGTTGATTTTTTAATGACCGTCCGAAACATCCATAATTATCAGTGTTACATTAACGTGAAAAGCCACTCTGATTAACAAAATTTCATTTTACGTGTGCTTTTGGAGGGACGCATCACTTTTCGTAAATTGAGATACCTCTACTCGTGAATTTGTACATTCCTTGTGCCGATGTCTTTTTGTATATCTAAATACAAAATTTAAGTTGAAAAAAAAAACGATTCCAATGGGATGAGGCCCCTTCTGCCAGCAGTGATGTGAACAGATACTTCCAAGGCTGCACCTCTTTCACCTCTATCTATACCTTAAATTCCCAATGCAGGGAATTGTTGCATTTGCAACAAGTGCGCACTCGTTTTGCGGACGAAAGTAATATCCTTTACACTGATTGGCATGGGGGTAGAGTGCACCCTTTGGACAGAGAGAAGGCAAGCTATAAGCTGCCCCCCCCCCCCCCCAATGAAAAACCTTAATGGACTGCTGCAAACATGTGGCCACCATTGCTACTTTGCCTTCCCAGTTTCAACATTATTCTCACGAGCCTCTGAAAGTGTTTGGCCATGAGCCAGCATTTAGCTGCACAACCTCCGGGATATGACGCTGCAGATGCCTTTGCTTTCAACAAAAAAAAAACTAACAGCAAAAAACGAACAGCAAAAGGACTGCAAAACGCAACGCCAGTCGTGACCAAGGGCCATCAAGGATGGCCGTACGTGGCAATAAGCCGGTGGCATCATCGGTAAGCCAGTGGCATGATCAGCAAGTAACACATGGCATAATGCTGACGGAAATGAACTACATATTCAAAATTCAATCCTCCGTTGACGAGTTCCATTATTATTCACCAAAGCAACCAGTCCAATCAACAACAACATCGCGACTGACCGACTGAAATGCACCGAGTCTGCCACAAGTCTGGCCTCATGCGATATATTTACAAACGACTCTAATGTGAGTGTTGTCTTCTACACTTATATCCATTATATACGCCGGCTAACTCGTAAAACGTACCTTCAAGTTTCAAAACATAACGTCATGCAGGTTGCAGTCAAGAGGACTACTTTGAAGCGGTGGATGCGTGCAAGCATATTGAAAACGCAGCAAAAAGAAAAATAATCAGGTCAGAGTTTGCATCTTCAAGAAATAACACGAATTGCCTCGGCGAATCGCTCAGTTGTCATGGAAACGTTTGCACATTGAAGAAAATAAAACAGACGCAAAGCTAAACAGACTGAAACGTTAATTGAGCTCCTTGTATTACACTCTTATTAAAGCTTCCACGCACACATGTTGGCCCTGATTCGTGTAACTATTTTTGGCCTAAAAATTCCGCACTCTGTCGTTCTTCTTTGGCATCCCCAGTCCACAACTGAATTTGTACAGAAACTCTAGGGAAGGTTTTTTTTTTTGCCAATCTGAACTTTCCACCAAATTTCAGAACGGGGACTAAAACATGAAGGTGACATTGAAAATATGAAGAAGGAAGAACTTAACGGTATGATGATGCTTGTTGCTCCTATTGGTGATATGAACAATTATAATACTTGGATTTCGGCAGCTACAAATTGTGATAATGGCATGTAGATGACTTTGATGGACAGGACGATGATTCAGAAGAGGTACCGCTCCTTGCGAGACCCAGACCGAGTCCGAAGACTAATTTTCAAGTGTTTGGCACTTGAGTGGAAAGTGGAGTTCTCAGAGAAAACCTATGCTTGGGAGGGATTACAATGATGTCCACATATATAAATTCACGAGTCCATTGCTCTGCCATATTCTCGTGCCCAAATTGCAGCCCAATCGGTTTGATGCATTATAAATACCCATGTAATCCACCAACACATACCTCAAAAAGGGATGGATTACACCGCATCAGGCAACCATTTAAGGCCGAGCCGACCTAAGAGAGGCTCTTGAACAGGTTTTGAAATCACTTGCCACCGATGTTATGTACCATAGCCAATAATAAAAGTTGCAGAGTTTGTAGCACAGTGCAGGGACCACTAAGCATTCACCACATTCTCACACACCAAGCCACGTATATTTACACATTTGCGTGCAAAGACAAAGCTCCCCCGTGTAGCCTTAAAAGACTGTTGGGGGCAAGTGCTGTTAGCGAGTAACACCTATTGAGGCCGGCACGGCACACGAGGGGGTGGGTGGCCAGCACCACGACCGGCCGCCTTTGCCTCCCCAGTGGCGATGTTTACACACCGCACCAGGTGCTCATTTGAGGCTGAAGTTGACCTAGAGGATACCCCACACCGGTTCAGATAATCGTCACTGGTGTTGGCCGTGAACAGGAACCGAACCCGGGTCGCCGGGTTCGTAGTGCAGCGTGCTAATCGTTTGCACTACTGCTCCCCACGAATGCAAATACAAGGATTCTCCATGTACTGTCGCCTTATAGGCTGGTAAAAAATGGCAAAGGGTGGGGGAGAAGAGAAGGGGGGAGGTGGGTGGAGGAGAGCAAGGCAGGGGAGGGGATGAGGTGAAAGGGCTTTGCTCTATAAACCCGGTGACCAAGTTCAATTTCACGGCTAACAATCAGTGGAGAGAGTTATCTGAACGAGTCCTGACCACCCCTTTGCCAACCCACACTCACCAACACTTGCCACATAGTTTTTTTTAAAGACAACAATATAGCCTGCAAATTCATTCCTTTTACCCTTTGTATTTTTGTTTGCCCAGATCTCCTGTCTTAGAAGAGACGCGTTGCCTCAATGGGCTGTCCGTTAGGTTCTAAATAAAGTAACCGATTGAATGAAAATATTGATCGTTCAATACTCTATAACAGTTAAGCACGTACAGAAACGAGACAAACATAATGCAGAACTTCCTTTAGACAACCTATGCTTCACCAAAGAAACTTTTCTTTTGTATTGTTCGTTTATTTATTAAGACCAGATGACAATGTAATAATGAATAATGCATGAAACAATAGGAACCGTACATCTCAGATGCAATACAGAAATCTCTAAAGAACAACAGAATCGAAGCATAATGTCCTGTACATATATATAAATCATCAGCTCATTCCAACAAACTGTGCAGAGGTGCATTAAATATGACTATTACCACCTTGTAAAATAAAAAAAACTGTAACATCGCAGAGGGTAATGTGCACGACATTAAACGTGTAAATAATGGAGCTCTAATCCAGCATGCGTTCTGTCCACAGTTGGAGACATCGCGTACGGCACCGCATCTTAACCAAGCTGTGAAAAAATTGCACTATGGTACGACAGACACAGAGACGACTATAGATGCGCAGGGACTAGTTTGTATTAACAATAAAAGGATTTTTTTGCATATTCAATCAAATATCGTAACTGACATTTGTTAATTATGCTGTACTCTTAATTCCTGAATACATCCTCTCAATTAGTTCAACTGTTTTATCTAAATCCCTAAGTATGATCGTTCCACAATGTATATGCGTAATAATAAACGTAAATTAGGAAGGGTTGTAAGTAACAAAACACAAATGTTAGCAAATTGACATTACATTTGAATATTTAATTAAAAAAAAAAATAGAAAATACTGTAAGTATGGCCATGGAAGGTTATATTGTTATGATTCAGATTACCCATAAAACCCTGACAAAAGTAACAATGTTTTAATTCACTTTATTTTTAATCACGACATTCCATTGCAGACACTACTTTGCTCAGAAGACCATGCGAACATTTGGCAACTAAAGACATTGTAGGTTGTACTTAACATTCACGATTACAACTCAATGCCTCTTTCTCTAAAGCTGCACTTGTTTTCCGCTGGAATGATGTGTCAAGAGATGTACACTGCTGTTTAGTGGGGAGCGGTGGTGCAGCGGTTAGCGCGCTGCTCTACAAACCCCGCGACCCGAGTTCGATTCCCGCTCACGGCCAACACCAGTAACGATTATCCGAGCTGGTCCTGGGCCTCCCCTAGGTTGACTCAGCCTCAAACGAGTACCTGGTGCAGTGTGTAAACATCGCCACTGGGGAGACGAAGGCAGTCAGGCGTGGTGCTGGCCACCCACCCCTTCGTGTGCCGCGCCAGTCTTCATAGATGCTCGCTAACAGAACTTGCCCCAACAGTTGGTTAAGGCTATACGGGGGATCTTTGTACTTCTCTTGAGTGCACCTGAACTAGGAATCAAGTTAATGGAAAACTGAAAAATTGACCACCGAGCGTATGGTCCGGTTGTAACAACTACTGTTGCGCTGGTCACTCGCAACAATCCACTCCTCCGGAGTGGAGATGCCTTGATGCCGGATCCAAGGTTAGAAGATAAAGGGTGCAGCCCTGCAAATTTCGTGTTCACGCCACTGCTGGCATGGTCAGGTTAAATGCGGGTTACCTTCAGTAACAAGAACACAATGTGTTACTTTTAACAGGCGATTGGTAAAGAGAAGCTGCAGCCTAGACAGGTTCATGGCACTCCCCTATAAAGTAGACAGAATGGTTTGGAATGATTGTCGGGAACTCACGATGACCATGTGACTTCTAAAATGGGTCAATTTCAGGAGCTGGGTTATCCAGATTCCTAGGCTGACGGTACCCACCTGGAATATATCTCCAGGCGTAATGTCATATTGATGCCGTCTGGAATTCTGACGCAGGGCAATATTAACGATGTACTAAAATAACAAATCACAGCAAAGTGTATGCAAGAGAAAAAACAAAACACACAATGTATGCACTCTACAGTGTTGTTCCAACTGTGTGTATTTAATATATTACATGTGAGAGTGTTACTTATATTGTGCAGCGATAAGAAAAAAAAGTTGCTCCTTTTTTTTTATCCTGGACATTAGAAAAATTACATTAATATTTGACAGTGGTGTAAGGAAAAAACCCTGTGTGTTTTATAGGAACTTGAGAAATAAAGGTGTGATTACTAAAGAGCAGCCACTGTACGAGGAAAATATTGAGTAATTGTAAGTATGTATTCATATTTCCGCATTCGTTTAACGGAGTTGTAAAAATGATTTTGCAAACAAAAACTAAACAGGTCACTTTGTGATAACACGTGTGTGTGTCACAACACGTGCGTCACAACAGAGTGTCACAACTGAACAGGTTTTTGCGAACAACAGTAAAAAAACAAGGAAAAATCCCAAACTGCAAAAAGAAAAATAATTCTATGCTCGGTCAAGCACATGGTCCTATTAGGTGTATCAACTGATTTACGGATGAGATAGTGGGATCGATACAGCCACTTCTGATTTCTGACTGGAAATCACAGCACATGAATGAGATGCACTGAATGCACCCACGGCAAAGGAGCGTTGTGAAAGACAGAGCAGAGTTGATACAAAACCGTCGACGTTACCGATTCCGTTCCGACACTGCAGCGATGCACAGATAGGGCCCCATCTGACACACTGCGTGGGTGTATGTGCAGGGTGGCCCAAAAGTCAGCACACATAGGGTTATGTTTATTTTAACAAATGACATCCAGGCTATTTGGTTTATATTTCAATAAACGTTTAAACGGACTCCCATTAACATTAATGCGTGAATTACATGTTTTTTAATTATTTTAGGACTTTTTTTTAAAGATTACAATTACGTCTTGTCTCAATTAATTCTACTTAAATGTTATCTGAACACAACAAAAACCCCCATTAATAATGATGATAGATACAATATTAACTTAGAGAAAGAAGAAAACGTTTTAATGCCAGTGTTAAAATAAATGAAATCACCCTCTGCGTCCTGACTTTTGGGCCACCCTGTAAATACAGATATACTGAGTTTGTCGGTGCACGTGCGAAACCTGGGGCCGTGTAGCCTCTCGCACAACGGTGACGCCATTCCCAGTGTCCGTAGAGGCGGGCGTAACGCACGCACAACGGTCGCACGCGAATGAACCTCCGTTGCCATCGTCAGAGACTACACGGACGCTCTTCATTTTTTTTTTTGGTAGCTCCGCAAGGAGGCAAGGTCCATGGAGACATTGAGAGGCGTCATGGTTAAGTCGAAGCAACGCGCAGCTTTTGTCTGCAGAGGGGTGGGCGTGGGTGGGTTATACTTTAACAGACAACTCTGTGCACAAGTCTTACGTTTTGCAGTCCTCTTGCCAAGTCAGGCTTCACTTGCGAGGTCTGTACTGGCCAATTCAAGTCTCTTTTAAACTTCTCATTCTTATTCTTCTTCTTCTTCTTCCTCCTCCTCCTCGTCGTCGTCGTCTAGTTTCTTTCAATTTGGTGCAAGTTTGTCAGCCAGCCCAAGTTCGGTCCCTGTCAAACAAAGCGGACGCAGGTGGATTTATAATCGTCCGTATTACACACACAGATGTATCAAGGCCCAAACATGTCAAGCGATGGTGTACATGAATTAATTTAGAATACTGCTTCCCGCGAAGAAGCCACGTTAGCATCGCAACTGAAACAAGACAGCTGTGTACAATGGCCCGGGACGCTTCTCTCGCTGACCTCACAATATTTGATGCTTTTGCTGCAATTTTACTGTTGGAGCCTTTGGTATTTAGTGTTGTTATTATTATTATGATTATTAATTTTTACGCCTGTCTACCGAGTGACGCCTTCACTGCTCTGGTTTCCTGCCACGTGTGTAAATGCTCCTCATTAATTGGCGGAAAACATCTAAAAAAATGTTTTAACCTTCGTTGGTTGCGGATTTGTGCAGTATTGTGACATGCAGTTTGCATGAATGACACGATATATATAAAGCACTGATTAAGACTTTTTTTCAGGAAGGTCATTCCATGTATTTTTACAGGAGGGGGTGATGTTGCTGTGTGGTGTGTCATCCCAATCGAGTAATTTCCAGGCCATTTTTCAGGATTGGAATTTTCGTCCCAACACCAGTCACATTTTGTGATGGGAGGAAACTGTAAAACCCAGCGAATATCACTGCATCACGGGGGGGGGGGGGGGGGGGGGGAGAGAACGCACATACATAAAGCCGTAGGATGCCCAAGTTAGAAGTCAAACCCAGGACCCTCTTGCTCTCAGGCACAAGCGTTAACACTGCGCCACTCGACCGCCAATTTATTTATATAACGAACAGTAGGAATGTATAACAATGAGGTACTTAAATTTTGATTTAAAGCTTTCGTGACTGCAGTAATTCATATTCTTAGTTCTTTCGGTAAAGTCACGTTGAAAAGAAACAATAAAATAATAAAATATATAAAACAACAAAAAATTAAAATTCTCACGACGTTTCGACCATAACACAAACGGTCGTCTTCAGGTGTGTTGGTTTGCATAAATGTATTTTTAAACGGCGCATTTATTTATTTATAAAAGCGTTATATATTTTATTATTTTGTTGTTTCCCTTCAACGTGACTTTACCGAAAGAACTAAGAAAAATGAGGTACTTCTTATCTTCAATTGTGAAAGCGCCATTATTATTTCGTAGTCGAAGCATTATTAGCCACGTGCCATGCTCAACAACCTGTGGCACGCCGCCAATTTTTGAAAGCAGGAGGTGGGCTCATATACTGGTCATCTGAGAAACTACTCTACATCCGTGAAAAAGAGCCTCGTAGCTCATCGTATTTCTCCGGGAGAGATAAAGATTCTGATTCTGATCCATCACCGACCCTTGCGACTGCGGCGGCAAGAAACGTGCGCGCCACCTGGGGCAGAGCGGGCTGCCATGCCCTCCCAGCGCTCCCGCTACCAAGCCTCGTCGCTCAGCGTAACCGACACGAGGGCTCTGCACGACGGCGGCGTGCAGAGCCCTTGCCCTGCCTCCACGGGAGGGTCGGCAGCGGAATTGGTCGTGGTTTTTTAGTGCGGAATCACCCCCCCCCCCACCATTTCCCCGTGTGAATTGGCAATGCTTCTACCAAAGAGTGGTGGGGTGATAGCTGTAATAGCTGCACGAATCAGCCCACTTTTTTATTTTACGTTTCTTAATACAGTTATTCTTAATTTAAGAGGATTAATTTAAGTACAATAATTTCCTCTCACCCTTGTTCATTCTGCCTCCGAGATTCCACGGTTCCTGCTGGGAAAAAAAAATGTGTCAATTGCAGTTGGAAATTCTGAAAATTGGATCATAAAATTAATATGCGTGTGCAATTCAACACGAGTGCTATGGGTTGAGGGTGTGGTGTCATGCATTGGGAGAAAATGCTTGGATGTTGTGTACATTTATTAAAATCTAAAACAAACAACTAGATTGTCAGCTGGCTAGGATCATGTCAGTACAGCCAGTGGATTCGTGAACCCGGCCGGGCTGAGCAGATTATTGAGAGTTATCATCTCATATGCGTGAATCTGTGGCATTCTGGTTTCCTCCCACTTGTGAACTCTTACGAAGGAACTGGCCAAGCAGTCGAAACGATGGCCAAGTTCTGTCCGCTCAGCAGTGCAAATGGGTACTTTGCAGTTAGTTGACTGGCAGGGTCTCTTGTCCTGGGGTGCAATGTGGAAGATAAAGTCAGGGACCTGTAGAGCTCCCTGTAGTGAAGGCTCTTCCGCCAGCAGTGGCATGAGCAAGTATATTATGTACGTACGCATGTTGAACTTTCTTTCACACCGTATGTAGCCAACCATGATCCCGATTAGCACGGTAAGGCTACGTATCGGTGCGAAAGAAGTTCAACATACATACATACATACGAAAGTTCCACGTACAAACATGACCTGCACGGTAGGTGTGGTATATATGTATGCATGTTTAACGTCTTTCGTACCCTACGTAGCCAACCACGCTATAATCGGAGGTGTGGGGCGGGGGGGAGGCCGACAAACTAAACACAAAAAAGGTTTCCGCAGAGCTGCACCTTCACCATTACCACCGAATATTCAGACAATGGCCTTTCTTCAGGGCATCTCTCTTCATCCTTTATTGTCCTGCCCTCCCCGCCGTGCTGCTGCGGCGAGGGAGCCACTGGCCGTGTGCTTACCTCTGGGCTGTGGGCTCCTGTCGAAGGGCAGGAGAGCCCTGGGTGCCCCGGGGTTGCACTGCTTGTGCCCTTGGCAGCCACGCAGGTCCTTGAGCTCGGCCTGGAAGCTCTCCAAGTCGGGCTGCGGCAGCAGGCGTGCCGTGTTGGTCAGCTGTCGGGCGAGGGGCGGTGGGGGGGAGCAGACGGGGAGACGATGTGGTCCGTGGGCTCCATGGACTACTTCAGCTGAGTTTACCATAATATGGGACCTCTCTTGCCGGTATCAAAATATAACAATAGGTCTTACCCTTTCTGGCAATGAAACAGGTGTTAAGCTGTTAAAACACCAAACTGAATCATTTTTCAAGGAATCCTGTCTGCATTAACCACACGTACTTGTGGTGAACATGCAAACACAAAATATGCTCTACCTCCAGCTATAAATGTCCTGATAGTGCATTGTTTTAGTGCTGTTCGCCTTTTGGCATTCTCTGGTCTAGCACCAATTGAGACGAGGCTCTAAAGAAAGCCGTCTCTGGTGTGGACCAATCAGTTTCAAGGACAATGCATCATTATATATCATCAGAGGATGTTTTATACTCTTTGGTTCTTTCGGTAAAGTCACGTACGTAGTCACGTTGGATTTATTTTATTTTCTACCCACGTGACTTTACCGAAAGAACCACAGAGTATGGATTCCTGCAGTCACGAAAGCTTCAGATCGAGGATGTTTTATGTTTGCATGTTCGCCACAAGAAAGAGTAGGCCAAGATACCCTCGTGAGGGCTCCCTCGAGTGGAGACCTGTGCACGAGTGGTGCTCCACCTCGTGACATGGAGCTGTCCCCCTCTCTCTGTGTGTGTGTGGGGGGGGAGGTGGGGAAGCCAGGCTCACCTGGTAGCGGTCAACGTTGAGATCGTAATACTCGACGACGCCGGTGGCGAACTCGCAGAAGAGCGTGTTGTGCGTTTCGTTCATGGTGCGCATGCACCAGTAGGTGCTGTTGCTGGCGCTGGTGCAGGCGCAGAAGGAGCCGACTGGAGGGCGGGACGGGGGATGGGATGGGATGGGAAGAGAGATGGGGGGGGGGAGGGGGAGACAAGGGGAGGGGGTTGAGGTCAGCATCACCTCTAGGCCTCCGCATCGGTGCTCGGACGGGACCGTTAGAACAACGAAACAGGTGGACTTCTCCACTAATCTGGCTGTCGCCTGATGAAGCTAGTTGTAATTACCGGCGAAACGTCGTACTCGGTTTGTAAATGTTGTGGCTCGGCTCTCGAACACACCGGTGTGCTGTACTAGTAATTCATTGGCTTGTTCTGTTTACGTGACAAATCTCACTAATTGGCTGTGTCGGGTGGTGGCGGGTTTAATGACGCATTAATATATTTATGCGATCTAACCCAAAAACACTTGTATTATAGATGGCAAATTGAATGAGGTTTTCTACCCAAACTATGGCAGGCACTTATCTCCTCCTTACAGATCTGAGCCGTGGCGAATATTCCACATTACTATGGAGCGATGAGTAAATCCATAGTACAGCCACTGATTACTATTTATTAATTATTTGAATGGGACCCGCATTCGTTTTGAAAGCGGCGGGCAGTCGCTCATAGGCAGGACGACAAAAGGGAAAGTCGTGAGCATGGGACTTAACAAGGGCAGGGAGCCGATAGCACAGATGGAGGTGGGAGTAGGGGTTGGAGAGTTCCATTCTATGGCAGGGGGGGGCAGCAGAGAAGGATAAGCGAAAATCGGGGCAGCATAAGCCAGTGGTTCTTAACCTTAACTGCAGCCTTGCGCTCCTTTGGATCTCACGCGAAATTTTTGTTTTGTTTGTTATTATGTTAATACATACATAGGTTTGATTAAACAAAGTAGTTGTACTGAAGTGCCCTTGCTTAATTTCGGTTTCGACGATTTACCTCCTAACAAAAAAGTCTGGCCGTGTCTCGCACCCCCGGGGGTGGGTGGTGGTGGTGGGTGGTGGTGGTGGGTGGGTGGGTGCGCCCCAGGTAAAGAACCACCGACATGAGCCAACGAATGAATGAACCCCTATTGTAGTGGCTGTCGAGCCGGGTGGTTGGCAATGCGCGACCGGGTCACGTGGCCGACGCGGCGGGTGTGCGTGGCTGCGGCGGGGCGCAGGACGTACGGGTCCAGTACGGCGGGGTCTGCCAGTGCGTGCTGTCCTGCGTGAAGCACGTGAGCCCGGGGAAGTTGCAGTTGTCTCCTGTTTTCAGCCTCTTCAGGATTTTCCTCTCCTTCTTCTTGCGCTTCTCCATGTTGTACTGCCTCTGCCAGGGCTTGGCTTCCTGCTCAGGACCCCTGCACACGCACACGCACGCACACGCACACACACGCACACACACGCACGCACACGCACGCACACGCACACACACACACAAATGACAAAGGTTCCCCATATAACATTTTACAGACCGCTGTTTGTCAAAACGGCACTTGTCCCCCCAACGGTGGTGGTGGTGTGTGGCCAGCAACACCACGCAGGGCCGCCTTTGTCTCCCCAGTGCCGATGTTTACACACCGCACCAGGCACTCCGAGTCGACCGAGGGGAGGGGCAGAGCCGGTGGAGATATTACATGTGACAATTATAGTTTCGTCATCGATGTTGGCCGTCAGCAGGAATCAAAACTTGGGTCGCTGGGATAGGAGTGCATTGCGCTATCAACGATGCGACCGCTACCCGTACAAAAACGGTAAATGCAAGTTCGCCGTACGGCTATACGGACTGTCGGGGTAAGTTCTGTTAGCGCACACGTGCGCACGCATTTCAGTGTAGAGTTTGCAAATATATATAAATTTATCGAAATAGTTTAATGTAACCCGTATTCGTGTATTTTCACAAGAAACGGACGGACGGAAGCTTCAAGTGGAAGAACGCACCAATCGGCTCTCGTGAACGCGTGTATCGTATTGATACAAGCGGACGGACAGAATGTGCCGACAAGCTTACAGGCCCTTAGCACTTGCTCACCAAACGTTTGTCATTCAAGCAACCCGCTATTATCGCGCAATTAATCAAATCGCGCTCTTAGCTCTCGTAACGCGCGGAGATTTCTCAAACCTTTGGCTCAGAGCCACGGGCAGCGGTAACCCCCCCCCCGTTCGGTAACGCCTACGAGCACTGAGACAGAAAACGGTGTGCTCCCATCACCCCAAGCCACCCCTCACCGCACGACACTCTAAACGTCGCGCACTGCCCACCCGCTCTCTGCACATCTACACAGTCCATTATGCGCATGCAGTCTTATAAATATAAGTCTGATCTCAGACGGGACCACATCCGTTTGTTGAAAAACACAATCATTTGTTGAAAATTCCAGCTTTTTTGGTTAAGGATAACATTTGCACAGCTGTTTGAAAGTAACGAGTATGCCATTGGGCGATACACAGGGAACAAACGCAAGAGCAACAGCCGAAAAGGAGCAGCCCCATTCTTTATATCGCGCATAGTCTATTATTTCAAATCCCGGCGATTTCCAACAATTTATTTTGCACAATAGGATGGGACTGTGGGGCATTCCTTTGCACAATGCGAGTGGGGGAAATTATGTACATTTCTGGGCTCAAAAAGGCCGCGCGCGGGGAAAGAAAAAAAAATCACAAGGTTTTTTTGAGCAAAGGACTTTCAAAAAGAATCCCCAATTATGTTGGATTTCCAAAGTCTCCGAGTGACATACCATGGCGGGACCACACACCCACAAGCACACTCACTTGAAAGGATGTTCCGTGTCGACTTTCAGGTGCGTTTTGGCGTTAAATAGTTTGCCTTTTGTAAAGTAACTGAAAAAAAAACAACAACAACACAGATACGCGCGTGAGATTATTACGGGGCAAACAATCTCTGTTCATCAGTAAAATAATATAAACGACCCTTTGCATCTCCGAGAAAGGCTTAGGCGGTAAAGGGGCAATTTTCACGTTTTAATGGGGGTAGGGTACTGAAAAGTAGAGACAGACAAAATCTTGCAATTGACCTCAAATTGATGTGCGACGACATCAATCACATCATGCAATTATAGAACTGGTAGTTAAAAGGCAGGTTTCTTTTTTTATTTTCAGACAATCATCTTACTTTCTGTCGGTTTAAGTTTGCTCGGCGTTGCAATCCGGACGTCGCGAGCGCCTCGACGTGCAGTGGAAGAACAAACCTCTTTCTCTCGCAGTGACATTTTTCAGGGCGCTTGGTTTTCAGATGCCCCTTCACCTCCTTCAGGTTCTTTATTTTGTCCTGCAGAGCTTCAATCTGGCCGGGTCCATAGAAGCACCATTCAATTCCATTCCACTTACATATGCATACGCACAATACGTACCGGTGACTGAGCGGGGGATGAGAGTGGTAACGCAGTGGTTAGTGCACTGCGCTCTGAACCCCGTGACCCCAGTTATATTCCCGGGTAATGCCTATAACATAATGAAGTGAGTGATAACATTTATCCGGACCTGCTCCTCTTCCTTCACCAATCTGCACTGACCAGCATGGTGAAGTATGGTCGAAGAGCCCCCATGATGGACATGCTTGTGGGGAGATCTTTATCCAGCAGCAGCATTGCCCAGGAGGTACATTACTTAATTTCACCAATGGTAAGCATCATACATTAGTAAGTGTTTGGCACAAGACTTAAACCAATATAGAACTTTAGACTGATTATAATAAGCCTTCAGTCTATAATTTCAGTGGGCAAAACATTACAAATTTTGGTGTTTGGATTTATGCAGTTATAACCACAGAATATAATCCTCCTAGAATATCGTGTAAACACAAATGTGTCGTAAACCTTCCACCATCCGCGCCAATTAGTAAAGTTTGTCACGTAAACAAAACGTGCCAACCAGTTGCTACTTCAGCACACCGGTGTGTTGAAGAGTAAACCCACAGCATTTACAATTAGAGAACGACGTGTCGCTGGTGATGACCACCAGCTTCATCAGGCGAAAGCCTTCGTGTTAAACATGATTATCTCTGTTTGGGACACGCACGGAGTGTGTGTAATGTGTGCAGGTTACACGTGCACAAATCTCTATTAATGTGGCTGCATGCTTAGGTGTATCTGCGTGCCTTGAAGGCATGCGGGTGCACATATATGTACAAATGTATACGTGTGCATTCTCCGAGTCAACTCCACCTAGGATTTGTACATCAACTCACGTGGCAGTTTGGTGAAATATCAGCAACGCGGAGCGCCGGAGGTGGCAGGGACGGTGTGTAGCGCTCGCCTAACCTCTATCCTGTGACGTGCCTTAATGTGCGCTTGCTAACATCGCTCGCTCCAGCAGCCTATAACGCTGCAGGCAAATGTTTGCGAGGCTCTCTATCTGTATGTGTGCGCACGTGGGTGTTTGCCTCTGGCCGGTGGTGCACTGCGCTGTATGTGTGCGTGTGTCCAGGGGGCGGTGGGGTAGCGGTTTAGCGCTCTGCCCTATGAACCCCGCGACCCGAGTTCGATTCCTGCTCACACCCATCAACAGTGAAGATTATCTGAATATATCCTGGGCCCCGCCTATGTCCACTCAGCCTCAAATGAGTACCTGGTGCAGTGTGCAAACATCGCCATTTGGGAGACAAAAGCGGACGGGCGTGGCGCTGGCCACCCCACGCCCTCGTGTGCCGTGCCGGCCTTCGGGGGTGTTCGCTAATAGCACTTGCCCCAGCGGTATGTTAATGCTACACGGGGGATCTTTGCCTTTGCCTTGTTCTGTCGTCTGCAATTGCCCTACCTGATGCTCCACTATGCCCTTGTGATGCTTCCACGCCTTGATGGAAGAGTAGACCACGTTATCGCAGCCCACCGTGTTGTTGGAGAAAATATAACACCTGCACGGGCGGCATCAGCACATGGAATAAGAGGCTCGCAGGCCGGGCTTGGGCAAGAAAGAAATCCGTGGGAGCTGCCCCCCATTAAAATCGTACCACATTTTGTAAAGGTTCAAGAACAGAGCCGCATATAGTACACACATGTCCAGGGCAATTGTTGAAGGTGAATTTGAAGTGAAGAAATAAATACGCTTTTTGGAAACGTGAGTTTGAGAATGTAAAACGACGTGGCGTGAAATTGCGATGATTGAAACCTTTACATCGGCACACATCAAAAGTTAGCGAACGGCCCTCGCGCTTGAGAAACCGATGCATTTGGTGAACGCCGAGCGCTTCCGCCCATTTCATTTTGCACGTGTGCATCGACGCGGGCCAGAGGAACGAGGCCCACACTGCTCTGTTTATTTTAAGTGAATTCTTTCACCCATTCCTCCGCTCATTCGTGCGTGTTTTTTTTTTTCTCTCTTCATTTATGCGTGCAGCGCGAGTGGTATCCGCTCCGGTGGAATCACATCAAAGGGCACGCGCGCGAGCACCAGAGGAAATTTATTCACGGCGAGAGGAGATCTGTCACCTTACGTGAGAAGCCTCTCGCAGTGAGGCCAGGCTGCAAGAAGTGGCTGTGCGAGGCATGAGCCAACTAGGGAAAAGCTCAGGATCCCAAGCAGTTCAAGCAGCCGACGAAAATAAGGATGCGCCAAATATCAGCGTGAATTCAAATCCTAATAAACATGACGTAAAAGGTATCTTAATCAGGCTCATTAATGTCTCCTCTTACTGCATCTCCGTGTCTTGTCTACACAGCTCTCATTTCACCACATTTACATCTCATTTGTAACTCTCACCTTCCCATTTCACTACACCTCGATCTTTCGTCCACATTTCTCTCGCCCCACTACATCTCTACCGCTTGCATACATCTCCTTCTGTCATCTAACGAGGAATTCATTAACTCAAAAGGGGCGGTAGTCCAGCTAGTCAGTTTGTGACCCATGAGGGCATACAAAATAAGCAGTGAAAGCCTGATGCAAGACTGGCTCCCAGCATAGAAATGTGGAATTTTCACTCCCAGTTCAGTTCCTCCAATGTAAATGAGCACCACCATCCCATGTTCGCGTAGTCTAAGAGACACTTTGAGTGTATTTACATTAAACGAACGTGAAATGAATCGGTCACCACCTGTCAAATAAGATCCTCTTTGAGTCTTCCCTGCATAAAGGACATTGTTGTTATAACCCCGAAGCACCACCTCAACGGTCATAAAAGCTACATACATCACAAACGCTCCATGTGACAATGGTTGTTTTTATATTCTTAGCTCTTTCGGTAAAGTCACGTTAAAGGGAAACAACAAAATAATCAAATATATATAAAACAATAAAATTTTCTTCACGATGTTTCGACCATAACACAAACGGTCATCATCAGGTGTGAAAAAAACAACCAAATGTTTCTTGCCATTTGATGTTTCTTGCCGTTGGTTTTTTCACACCTGATGATGACCGTTTGTGTTATGGTCGAAACGTCGTGAAAATTGTTATTGTTTTATATATATTTTATTATTTTATTGTTTCCCTTCAACGTGACTTTACCGAAAGAGCTAAGAATATGAATTACTGCAGTCACGAAAGCTCTAAATCAAAATGGTTGTTTTATGGAGTGTCTGGCTTCTACCATAGCAATGTGGAATCCGCACCGGGGCCATAACCAAAGATGAGCACCGCCGCAAGCTCCTTCACGGATAACAACACCACCACTATTAGCACCACCCCATGCTCAGAATCAGGACTGGAGGAATCCGATGAGCTATGAAGATCGTTTTCACAGATGTCCACTTTGGAATAATATAGGGGGGGAACAGCTTTTCCCAGCAGTGAGAAGTTACAGGCCGACGAAAACAACAACAAAGCGACAAAGACGCTCATGCACAAACTTCCCGAGCGACAGCGGCGTCGGGCTACCTGCGCGTGACCTTGTGCGATGGAGACAGCGCGATGGTCTTCTTGCGGCTCAGCAGACCCTTCTTCTTGGTGGCCTTGACGCGCGTCGCCCGGCCCTGCGGCCAGCCACCGCCGCCCCTGCCCGGCGCCGCGTGCCGCCGGGAGAGCCGCCTGACGGCCTCGTGGGCGCCAGACTCTTCCTGTCCGGCGTCGAGGTCAGCCGGTCCATTCGGTGGATCTCCCGGATTCTCTAGCTCCTCCTCCGAGGTGTCTCCGTCTTCTACTCCTTCTACTTCTTCTTCTTCTCCTCGTTCTTGGTCCTCCTCCGAGAGCTCGACGGCTCGGGGTCGCAGGAAGCGGGGCTTGTACTCTGGCCACACGCAGCCAGCGAAGAATGCCGTTACCAGTTTGTCAAATTTCATCAATCATTTCGCGAATTGCTTAATTGGGAAGCCACATAGCAACAATGTCCCACCCCACCCCCCCCCCCCACTATATATAAAAATATAACTAAACTATTAACAATTTTTAGTTTACCAGGTAAGGCTCAATGAGCGATGTAGCTTTTTTTCCGAAGCGACCTGGCCACAAATGATAGCTCCACGAAGTGGCTCATCACGTTGAAATTTCTAACAGCCAGACACTTTAAATGCATGTTTCTAAATGCGGAGGCAAAACCCGGAGGACCCAGAAAAAAAATCCACGTGACCACGGGGAGAGAGACACGCATACTAAAAATATACAGGCATCAGGGTTGGGATCGAACCCATGACCTCCTGTATACCAGGCGAGGTAGCTAACATCTCGCCACCGTATATTAACGGCGACTCGCTGGCTGGCGCTGGACTCATCCTGTGCCTCACAGGGATAGCTGCCACTGGGGGCTCCCCTGCCACAAGTCGTATTGAGATTAACTTCATGGGAGGTGCAGTCGGAATATGATGATGATGATATATCCATCAGTCACAGCACCCAGTGCATCTCACTTGCTTTTGTTGTTTACTTTAACTATTGAAACTCAGACCTCGCTTGAAAAAAAAAACGTATTTTGTGACTATTTTAGGGTATAAATACTCGATTAATATACAAGGTGCTTCAATAAAATGTTAACACTTCTGAGAATTTGCAACAACGCCACGTGACACGTGCTGCCGCCTGCGGGCTCTGGAGACCACGTGGAGAAGATTCCAGGCCACGTGTTGACAACGATGGCGAACAAGTGGGAGACTATTTGACTTTTTGAAGCAATTCACATTACACTTGTTATCATGTTACAGTGTATTATCAGTTCTTTTTGCATTAAAAACGATAGTCCCGTATAAGTGTTAAAACAAATTTGAGCAACCTGTGTACATATTTTTAAATGTTCCACCAATGAATGATTCCCGCGCGCAAAAAAATAGACAAATGTGGAAATCAGTTCCTTTCTGTTGCTGACAAATGCCATTCACTATTTTGGGAATTTGGAATTTCCACGAGCTCAGAGGGTGGCCTATGGAGATGAGTGTTGCCACATTGCTCTTTTGGGCATCGAGATGAGTTTACGTAAGTTGAGGAGACACTGATGTATGTTTGCCATCACAAAACATCATAATCAAGCACTGCCCCAGCAACAGCAAGTAATTATGCCCCACACTTGATACACTCATGCAATATCCACAAGCCAAAAATGGCTTTTTTTTGCAGTACAGAGATACTACCATACTAAACATAATTACTTTGCAATATTTAGTCTTTGAGTGAGTAAAAAAAATAACAACCCACCTTCAAAGACTACACGTGTACCACGAACGGAAATAAAAAAAAATCCGAGCGACACGAACGAGCAATTTTTCATTTCCATACTGAATCGCTCACTGGTCGAAATAACGCGGCCCGTCAAGTTCCGAAAAATGTAACGTCGGAAGAAAAGCGGCAGCCCGCCTGCCTGCCTGATTGCAATTGGCCCTGGTGCCGAGCGGCAGATGGTGCACGACCTCTGGGAGCCCCGTGTTGCCCACTGAGGCCGCGACAATGCACGCTCCGTCTTTTGCGATCTCGCTCAGTCAAGGCAAACCGGGCGTCAGGCGGCTCAGCCTGCGAGAGCGGACATCGGGCGATTGAAAAAAAACAACGAGTTCAAATCCCGGTTGAGAGTTGACTCGCTACATCACCCCCCCTCCGCCCCGCCGCCCCGCCCCTCCGTGCCCATGCCTGTCACGTTGGCGTTGATTAATTTGAGTAAAAAGTTGCGGTGTTTTTCCGCACGTCGTCTCCGTCACCCCTCTGTGCATGGACTCGCAGTGTGGGAAGGGGCTATTAGCGTTTGCGTAAGGTGGCGTGTTTATGTGTGTGTTGTGTTGCAGGATATAAATGTGCACAATTTGAAAAGAACACACAAAAGTAAAGAAAGACGAGTACACATGATGAAAGACGGATGAGAGAGACAGCTCGACAAACGCAATAGGAGATTCAACAAATGCGGACGCTTTGTGGAAACATTCCACGATGAAAGGAATCAGTGCGGAGACATTAAAAACGGTACTGTTTTTATCGTAATGAGCGCCTCTAAGTGGTTTTGTATAAGAGCCTCCAAGTAAAGAGCCTATTATTTTAAAAATTATATCTCGCGATGGCAAGGCTCACAGGAGGAGCACCGTGCATTAATGAATGCCCCAAGGGATTCTGTGTGTGCCATCCACGTGCGGCTGCGGCATTGGAGTGGAAGATGGAAGCCTGTGGCGCAGCCCACTCTGTTAAGTGAGAAATCACGACGAATTTACATCAACGTGGCAACTGAACATCGATCATCGATCTCCCAGTCTCCAGAACAACAACAACAACAACAAAAGACGAGCCATGCCAATGGCCCTCTTCAATGCCAAATAACGACGTGCAAAGATAGGCCCTGGCACGAGGATCCTCGAACTGAGCATTATTAAGGGAGCCTCGCCGGCGAAGTGCGGTTATCTGGATTGGCCTCCTGAACGTGAAATTGTAGTTGTTGCTCTGCTTCTACGACAGAAGAAGGAGAAGTGGGGAAAAAAAAAACGCACCTGCTCGGGATTCAATTTGCACAGATGCTGACTAAGTCGGTGAGAGGACAGCAGCAGATAAAAGACAGAACGGCGGTAGACGGCCCTGTCGGGGCACAGCCCTACCTACCGAAGGCTTTGGCACCCCCCCCCCCCACCTTCTGGAATTCTTATCACCTTGTCCAAATAAATCCTGGTGCAATATTTAATACCAGTGGCGGCTGTCCTCCGTGCACACATGGGGCGACAGCCACGGCAAGAACGAACGCCGGACAAAAACAGATCTCGTATCGTGACGTTGTCTCTTTGTCGTACCACACCCGTTTAGTAACGCGGCAGTTTCCACGAGACCGCCTCGCCCCGGGGCCCTTACTCTGGGTGAGGTGAGTCTTGAGGAACTTGCGCTGGCTCCTTCGCTCGGCCTTGCTGAGCCGCGGGATCAGGGCTCCCCCCGTGTTCTCGGGGCACGCGCACTCGCCTCCATCCTCCCGCTCCTCACCCTCCACCTCGTCGTCGTCGTCGTCGTCGTCGTCGTTCTCGCGGCCGCCCCCTCGCTGCGCGAAGCGGCCCCTGCCCCGCAGGGCGCTCCGCCCGCCGCCCGCGGTGCGGCGCACGCTCCCGTGCGGCGGCGAGCTCTTGCACTTGTTGAGACGCAGCTTGCCCAGGCTGTCTTCCACGCACTGCCACTTCTGGGGTGTGTCGGGGGTGGGGGGGGGGGGCATCGGGCGGAGGGTGGAGGCATTGAGACCGTGAGACAGATGTGAGGGTGACGGACACGGGGGTCACCCGGTGGCTTGTGGGGTTAATAAACACAGGGCCGCTGAGCGGGCACCGCTGCGATTCTGGGTTCGAATCTTCGGTTTTTGCCGGCTGCATTAAAAATGTATTTTCAAGTGCGGTGATTAAATCGTCCGACTCTGATCACCGGCGACTGCACACACAAAAAGCCCAGGATAATATGAATTAGCTTTTGATTTGATTTATAAACTCCTTGCTCGGGGGGTGAAGCCCCTACGTGCGTGAACTTGACCTGCAATACACTGACTTTGTATTGCTCTGAGCACTCCCCTGCTACTCACGGATTTTTATTGACGACTAAAATCCCTGCCACTGGTTAGAGAATGATAACCGAGCAGTAAAGAACTTGAAGGGGGCCTTGGCTGGTACGGCGAGTGAGGGGCAAGGATGGGAAACGTCGTGTGTGTGTGTGTGAGAGAGAGCGAGGGGTAGGGTAAAGGTTAACCCGCTGCGAATACAAACCCGGCGGCCAATACCGGTGACGATTGTACCAGATATGCGAGTCCATCTTAAGACACCAATTGGTTTTTATCCCCTAGTTCTGGCGGTTTACCCTGGTTCTGTTTATTAGCTGCTTTCCATGCAAGGCATATTGGGATCTACGTATTAAATGCGCCTTACAATTATAACTTATTATTATAATAGGCACTGGGGAAACAAAGGCGACTGGAGCGTCGTGCTGGCCAACCACCCCCTCCGTGTGCCGTGCCGGCCTTCATAAGTGCTGCTCGCAAACGGCACTTGTCCCAAAAGTATGTTGAGGCTATTCGGGGGTGGGGATCTTTGTCTTTATGTGTGTGTGTGTGTGTGAAAGAGAGAGAGGTGGAACGCTGGCCACTTGCCTGGGCGGGCTGTTGGCAGGGCGTCTGGTACTCGGCCCGCTGGCAGATCTCCCGCATGCGCTCGTACTTGGGCAGCAGGTTGGTGTGTGCAGAGCCACTGGCATCCTTCACACGGAACATCTTCCTGCAGGCCCGATGCGCACACAGCGTTCCGTCAAAGAGGCACGCGCGTGAACACACGCGTGGGTCCGGCGCTCGCAGGGATGTGTGCGTGTGTGTGTGTGTGTGTCGGCACAGTCGTGTAGCGGTTGGCGCGCTGCGTTACGAACCCGGTCCAGTGACGATTATCTGAACCGGTCCTGGGCCTCCCCCTAGGTCGAGTCAGCCTCAAATGAGCACCTCGTACGGTGTGCAAATATCGTCACTGGGGAGAAAAAGGTGGCCAGGCGTGGTGCTGGCCACCCACCCCCTCTCGTGTGTGCCATGCCGGCCTTCATAGGTGCTCACGAACAGCACTTGCCCCAACAGTCTGTTTAGCCTATACGGGGGATCTTTGTCTTTTCTTGTCTTTTGCATACAGCTACACAACACACAAACTCATTACGTGCAACCCTCCGTTAGCTTCGTATACGGTCATATGCATATACTTGTATAGACAAAGTGCTGTCAGTGAGCACCTAATAAAGCTATGAAGTCACGCGACAAGTAGTTTAAGGGTCACCGAGATCGCACGTGAACTCGTTACTTTTTTATTATTATTATTATTAATTAACGTATCCACCGTTGCGTACAGCACTGAGAGCCCTGCCGTTTAAAAGGGTTGCGCTTGCGTCCCGTTGCTTAGACGTCGATCTGTAACGACCCTTCTCTGCCCAGTACTGATTGTTTATTCGTACAATGCAAAGTACTTATTTTGTTGCCCGAGTGAAACGTGGTGGGGGGGGGGGCGGGGGGTGGTGGTGGTGGTGGTGGTGCCGTCCGACTAATGTTGTGCTCCGTCAGAAAGTGGGCCCCATGTCACTGGGATTGTAATGAAGTGTGCAAACCACAACCCCATCACTTCCTACACGAGACATGGAAAAAGATTCCCCGTGCAGCCTTAATAGACTCTTGGGGCAAGTGCTGGCGGAGAGCGGCGATGAAGGCCGGCTCGGCACACGAGGGGGCGTGCGGCCAATGCCACGCCCGACCGCCTTTGTCTCCCTGCTTACACACCGGGTACTCATATGAGACTGGGTCGACCTAGGGGAGGGCTCCAAGGCCCAAGACCAGTTCAGATGTAATCATCACTGGGGTTGACTGTCAGCGGAAATCAAACTTTGGTCACTGGGATTGTAGCACAGTGCGCTCACCGCTGCACCACCGCTCCCCACACAATCACACATACACATACACGGACATATAAAACATACTTGCAAAGGAGGGTAGGATCATATTTGCCATACCGCAAAGAGGATATTCGACGGTGAAAGTCCCTTCGAGTCCACAATACAAAAAAATATGCTGCAGAAGTGAATGCACTAAGGGAGCTTCCACGCCATTAGGCGCAAGACCTAACAGCCACACGCACGCGTTTAAATGCACGTATGCTAAGTGCTCTGGTAAACCCACGGAAAGTGCACATTTTTTAAAGGAATGTTTTTATGGGCAATCCTTCCCACAGATCTGGGCATGAATATTAATGAATCTGTGTGTAAGTTTCATAGCAAACGACTTAGGGGCTTTGCACTTTTCATGAGATCATGTAAAGTATTTTTCAGGTGGCGAGACAGATCGATGGACAGATGCGTGACATAGCAGAGCAATAAGTAGCCCATAGACTCCCTCGAAAAAAAATACTGAAAAGGCACGAACGTGTTTTTTGAAGTTTTCGTGAAATAATATAAAGTGTCTATCGAATGGACGGCATAATATTTCCCAGACACGGCTATTAAGTACGCTGCAGGTCACATTGAACAAAAAACAAGAACAACACTGAGGTGGTGGAGCACACGCTCGTACCCTCTCTCGATGAGGAATGAGTCCCTCCACGACTTCATCTTTCTCAGGCTCGGGTGGAACCTGTGGTGGAATGACCTCCGATTAGCACGGTTGGCTACGTACGGTGCGAAAGAAATTCAACATACACGCACGGTACACATGCCTCTCGCGTGGACTGTGAGCAATTAAATTGGAGCAGAGGATCAAAGAAAGAGCTTTGAGGAGTCACCAACTGGGATTTGAAGCACGTGCACTTCCCCCTCCCCTCCCCCGAATCACTCTCGTCCACGATCGAGGGGGTGGGGGGTGGGGGGGGGGTGCGCATGGCGCGACACAGCGAACGTCGTGTTTTCGTTGCGAGCAGCGCGGCCTGCGCATTGTGGGGGACCCTGCAAGTCCCACGTGTGTAGCACAGCGCTGTGTGTAGCACAGCGCTGTGCTACAAGTCGCACGTGTGTAGCACAGCGCTGCGCTACACACGTGAGACTTGCAGCGCGGTGTGTAGCACAGCGCTGTGCGGTGCTGCGATGAACCACAAGCGGCATCGCGAGGAGCTGTCAGGCTGCCGTTCCAGCGATGGAATAGACGCAGTGCTCGTGGCCAGTTAACGTGCCTGAGCCACGTGTCGGTGTAACGAGAACGCCTAAAGGCAGGTGTCGGTTGAAGGTAGTGGCTTAGCTTTGTAATTGTCTGCTAGTGCCAATGTGCGAGAAACTAATGAGGGGAACCTCTCGAGAATATTTTGGTCTCTTCTTCCACGCCGAACCGGTGGCTCACCATTTGTGCCACCCGGTGGACAGAGGCGAGTGGGGGAGATCCAAAAAATCTGCACCGTCATTCAACTCCCGCAACGGGACATCGAATCGAACTGGCGACCTCGAGATTGCAAGTCCCGCGTGCTAACCCTTACACCGTGGCAGCTTCCAAGATATCAGTAATCCTGCATTATTGCTTAATTTTCTGTGTGCAGTCCGATGGCTGTTGCTCAGCATGTGTTGGTTGACCGCTTTTTATTACGATTTCTTGTCAGCGGCTTGGTTTAATTTCAGGACGGCAGACGCCAACGCACGTGGATCACGCGGCAAAAACGCCAAAAAACGCACGCGGCACCGCGCCGTCTATTTCCGACGTTTTAAATCAACTTGGCCCACGTTGACCGAGGAAGTGGGGGGGGGGGGGTAGGGGAAGCGATGAATCTCTGACAACGAGCCGCGTCCCGTCACGGCCGCTCGCTCACCCACCGGTTCGTCGGCCGATCGGGCAGCAGCAGCTTGAGCACCGACTTCCCGTCCATGTCGGCCGGGACGTCCAGGCCGGCGATGTCCAGCATGGTGGGCGCCAGGTCGATGTTGAGCACGATCTGGGGGATCCTGCGAATGGCCAAACAACGCGAGCGACCGGCGCAGCACACACAAAGAGGGATTGTTGCACGTCGCACGACAGGGCTGTGGACAATCGCGACGGGCAGCGTCGAGGGAAGTCCCAGGCCCCCGGCCTGTTCTGGGAAAAGCCAGAAAATTAACCAGGGGCCACTTGCCTGGGCGGGCTGAAACCATGCGGCTCGGCATGGTTTCGAGAGCGATCGTGTCTTTCACGATCGCTCTCGAAACCATGCCGAGCCGCATGGTTTCGAGAGCGATCGTGAAAGACATGAGAACCACGTAGGGATGATGCAGGGCAGTGGGTCATGGAAACGGAGGGGTCGACCTCACCCCGCTGGTGACGCTCAATTGAGCTTATCCTGACTTTGTCTCCCCCTGTGTTTAGGGAACTTTAGTTATTGTTATTATTATTGTTGTTGTTCTCACCCGAGCCTGCTTAGATGAGCCGCAAGTGTCCTTCGCCGAGTGAGCGTTTTGTTCAGTAATCTCGAATGCGCACGAGACCACGGGGAGAGCATTAGCATCTATACAACTTTGCCTGTCAGAAAAAAAAAACTACCCACTGCAGTCTCATAGAGGCACCTCGTTGCCAATATATTGAGTTGATGTTGATGATAGCAGCGATGACTATGAGAATGACAAATATAAACGTGTATCTTGACACGTTGTAGGTTTTCTGCTATAATATGGATCAGGGACACGGTTATTTGTGAAGAATATCGACAGTGAGAGAAAAAAACTGAAAAGTATACAGAGAAGCATCCTTGAAATGACATTGATGGACAGAAAGTTGAACACGTGGATTGCAGAGCACATGCAGGTTTAAGACGTCATTGAAAATATTCCGAAACGTAAGTGGGCTTGGTCAGGACACGCCGCGAGTGGTGACGATGGCCATAGGTCAAGAACAGCGACCGAGTGGCAGCAGAGGGATGTAACGCATCCAAGAGGACGTCCACAGGGGGAGATGGAGCAAAGAAATCGGCACATGTGCAGGCGCTGGGTGGATGATTACATTGCAGGTGTGTGAGTGATGCATCTATGTATGTTGAACTTCTTTCATACCGTACGTAGCCAACCGCGCTAATCGGAGGTGTGAGATGGTAGTGGCTTGGGAAGGCCTTAATCCAGCAGTAGAGTGAACATGGCTTACTATGGTGATGATGACGATCATGACGGTGACCATGAGAATGGCATTTACGATGGCGACGGCAACAGTGGCTAGAGCGGTGATAAGGGCAACATCTGAATAGTCTCCCACCCGCAGCCTTGCCGGCTAGATTGTGAACCAAAGTCTACGCGGGTAAACCCAACATAAAACCGGCAGACGGCCGTGGTAAACCGCTGCTGTATTTGCCAATCGAGACGTGGCCAGAGAGTATTGACGTTTATCCCTGACTAATATCGTGGACAGAGTTCAATGGAAGGCCACGATCGCCGACGTCCTCGAGAAAGGACATGGCCCAGAGTACAAAGTACAATGTCGACGGACCGCGGGGCTCTGTTGTTAATTTTGTGGCGAGATCAACCGGCTTACCTGATTCCAGGCTGCACGTCGGGCCCCCGCACGTAGAAGGGCACGCGGATGTCGAACTCGTAGGGGAGAGACTTCCCCTTGACGAGGCCAAACTGCCCAACGTGGTAGCCGTGGTCGGCCGTGTAGATGATGTACGTGTTGTCCAGCTCTCCCGTCTCCTCCAGCATGGTGAAGATCTGGGCGTGGGGCATCCGGCAGGGGGACGAGTTGTTACGCTGTCCCGTTCGTTAACTCGTCGGCAGATCGAGTTGGAAACTTAAGGGAGTTGTCGTGAGAGTCGACTCCTGGCGAGCTTCGTCGAGAGGATATTTCTTGTGATTGCGACTTTGTTACTCGTGTCATTTTTCACCGCCTCTATTATTCCTCTTTCCCCATCCACTGTGACTGTGTAATGTAGGAGAGGGGAACTGTTTAAACTAAACGATGAACTATTTTTTTTTATTTTACCAGGTAAGGCCCCACTGAGCTGTATAGCTCTTCTTCAGGAGCGACCTGGCCACCACAAATGATAGCTCAATTAGGTGGTTTATCACGTGGCCACTTATAGCAGTAACCGAATACCCTAAACGCGTGATGTTGATTCTAAATGTGGTGGGAAAAACCGTCGGACCCGGAGAAAAATCCACGTGACCACGGGGAGAACATACAAACTCCAAATATACAGGCGTCATGGTTGGGATCGAACCCATGACCCTCCTTTCTACCAGGCGAGGTATTTAACATCTGCCACCGTGGCGAGATGTTAAATCCTTGACCAAATTATTTGTTAAATTAAATAAAGATCTGAGGCCCATGGAATATCCGGGGCCAATTTTAATACTTCACGTAGATTCAGATTCAACACAGCTTGGGAACTATGTATCTGAGATGTCTCAGTCGACCGTGGTCTCCCTATTTGATCATCACCAGGGCTACGCTCAAGTTATCGACGCATCGTGTCCGCCACTCCTGGTGTACTGTGTGTTAATTATTAGGCAGTCACAGGGGTCTTTGTTAATTATCATCAATCATTATTGTCATCGTCATAATCAACATAATTGCAGTCAACATCAACACTGTCATCATCATCACCGTCAACGATTTGTAACACGCCATATCCAGCAAAAAGCTGAAACGGAAGCGTGCATGGCACAAAGAAAGATTAAACTCAACAGAAGAGACAATAAATGTTTTCAGCCTGCTATTAAAAGCACTGATTGTCACGGCTACCTAGACTTGAGTCGGCCGCCATCATTCTCATTGTCAACTTCATTAACATCATCTTCATACACGACATAATTTTTGCACACAAGCGCAAAAACATTTAAAACCCAATATATGAATTAAAAAAAAACATGCCTTTAAATTAACTTTAAATGTATTTTAGCTGCCTGGGACCGTAAGCCTGCTCTGAGTTTGCTTCTGCCTGGCACCACCACTGCCCCAACAACTGCAGACACAACAATGGCACCACCACTGCCACCACTACCATTACCACCACCACTACCACCACCGACACCACCACCACCACCGCCACCACCACCACTACCACCACTACCACCACTACCACTACCACCACTACCACCACCACCGCCACCACCACCACCACTACCACCACTACCACCACTACCACTACCACCACTACCACCACCACCGCCACCACCACCGCCACCACCACCACCACCACCGCCGCCGAACGCAAGGGAGGAGGCCGTGGTGTACCCTCTGCACGGAGTCGTCGACAGACAGCAGCGTCTGCAGCCGCTTGCGCTGGAGGACATTGGTGAACTCCATGTGGATGGGCAGCATCCGCCCCGTGTGGCTCACGAACCAGTGCTTGTCGTGGTTGGGCCCGTAGTTGTAGCTCGGGGTCCTGTTTGCGGGGGGGGGGGGGGGGGGGGGTGGGGGGGGGGGGCAGAGTTAGCGCGCCGATCGTCAAACCCCAGCGCCGCTGTGCATGAGGCGGACGCACGAGCATAGGTGCCACGGTGTCGCTCATAGGGAGTTTGGTCAAGGGATTTGTACAACAAACCACACGTCTGTGCTGTGTGAAAAAGGAGTACTTTAAAGGCAGCACGCTTTCAAAGAATAGACGCCATGTCGGCAAGTCAGAGAACGCAACTGGATCAAACCACCGTAAGATAAAATAAAATTGGCTTGCGCAACAAATAAACGCTGGTGGCTTCCAGCTCACTCGAGCGCGGGGCAGTCCTCATCTGTTTACAACACTCCATCAGCAATGGAAATTCCACATTCCTATGGCAGGGAGGGGAGAATGAACCACTGTTGACTGCTTCCACAAAGTGGCACTTATTTTATCGAACGGTACAAGGGCTGCGTCTACCCTTAATTGGGATTTAAAACTCTCAACGCTCCGTTTGCGAGCCATGTGCTTCTGAGACCACTGCACAACCGAACCACAAAGAAATATACACCAGTTTATGTAATATATGACCAAAGAATGTGATAATATATACACCAAAATGCGCCAGGTAACCAGGATCCAGTGTTCAGGGATTCCACTACCTGTTGCCTCTGTTTCGTTGTCTGTTCTCACCGAAGACTGTTGAATTTAATGCTTCACGAGTAACAAGCAAGTGGTCCAACCTGTGGAATTTTGTGAGACCTATGCACAAAAAACCCAGCGCTGTTGAATTTTAATAGGGGAGAAAAAGCCTATGACAGAAACAGTTTCTTATCCTTCCCATTCATCCTGACAGACAGTAATCTTTTCCTGGGCTTAAACAGCTTAACACAAAGATGGGAACATTCTGAAAAGCCACTGTTCGGTGGCTGGTCAGATCGACGTCATTGAGAAAATAAAGGAGGCCTCCTTGAACCCAATCAGCAATATTATCTTTGCAATAGAAATCCACAGAAGCAATTTACAGCAGTGAATGCGCGTGTGTGCGTGTGTTAGTGCGTGCATGGAGCGGTAGTGCAGCGGTTAGCGCGCTGCGCTATGAACCCGGCGACCCGGGTTCGATTCCCGTTTCCGGGCCTCCCCTAGGTCGACTCGGCCTCAAATGAGTACCTGGTGCGGTGTTTGAACATCGCCACTAGGGAGACTAAGGCGGCAGGTCGCGGCATTGGCCACCCACCCCCTCGTGTGGTGGGTTTTCGTGGGCGCTAGCGAACAGCACTTGCCCCCACAAGTTTTTCTCTTTGTCATTGTGTGTTCGTGCGCCTGTGTGGGGCAGTGGTGTCAACCTACAGGTGCTGCCAACTCAGCGACCCCAGTTACATTCCCGGCCACGGACAACATCATCCGGCAAGCGGCATCTGAACTTGTTTTCGGGTCTCGCCATGGTCACGTCAGCCTTAAATGGGTGCGCAGTGTGGTATGTAAACATCAGCACTGGGGGCGAAAATAGAGGTGGCCAGGTATGGTGCTGGTTACGCTTCCCCCCCCACTCCCCATGCCCCCACTCCCCCACCCCTGCTCCAGGTGCACCATTCTAACCTCAGTTGGTCCTCATCAGCAGCACTCGTCTCAATCGAACCATACGGATATATGTGGGTGGGTTTTTGCTTTTTTTGTCTTGCGTCTTAACACCGGTTCCAGAGACTACTCCCAACACCGTTTAAATGCGTCGCGAGCAAAGACCTCCACAAACTAATGTAGCGTGACATGATGGCCAAAGTGCAATTGGAATAAATTAAGCGTTGGGGAAAAGAATAAATTTTTGACACCTTGCGTTGTTAAAATGTTAAAAACCACTCCAGAATAAAGTAAATTTATAAGGAACATTAATTAACAGCAGCAGTCGTTTGTAAAGTGTTATTAAAGCAACAATCCTCTAATTTCGTCGAAAGGAGTGCAATTGTCAATTAAAACAAGCATTAAAAGAAACAAGGACCATTTAAAACAGACAAGGGACAATTCTGATATTCAAGACATCAATATTGTTACTGTGTGAGATGTAAATAACGATTTTCCAATGTAGTGTTTAATCTTGGGATATATAACAGTTCAATTATGAGGCACGTCTTGAATTGGAAAGGATTACATGAGACTAAAAACTTTCGTGATTGCAGGAATTCACATTCTTGGTTCTGTCGGTAAAGTCACGTAGATATAAAATAAAAAGTAAAAAACAAATTAAAATAAAAAATAAAAGCAAAAAACCCACGACGTTTCGACGGCAACACAAGCGGTCTTCTTCTCTCCACCTGCTGAAGGCCGCTTGTGTTGCGACCGAAACGTCGTGCATTTTTGCTTTGTTTTAAATGTTTATTTATAATTTTATTTTTTCATTTTCTATCTGCGTGACTTTACCGAAAGAAACAAGAACATGATTAAATGAGACATTATTAGGGCACGAAATCTTGACAGTAATTTCCAAGTAAATTCCTTAAATAACGAACGTAGACCGTGCATAGCCATCTTTAGCGACAGTGGCAAGCAGTCAGTCTTATTTTAGAGATCACAGTGATGGGAAGAGTGTTTATCATTTACAGTGAAGCACCTTGCTCATCTGTCCTTCAATCCTCGGGGGTTCTCAAATTCAAGATGACTATCGGCATTGCTACAGGGGTGGTCTGAAGGCCGATTTGACACGGAGAACATCGGTCCTTAGACACCGTAATTGGGTTGTGAGGCAAGATGATAGCCCGATGCGGAGACATCTAGGCCACAGTTGTGACAGCTCTTCATAGCCCTTGGCAGATGTTCAATTATTAAATTGTGTTCTTGTGTGTCCATGACATCAATGTATGGATCCTAAAAAAAAAAAATATCACCAAGAGAATTTGTTCGTTTGATTGTTCGCTTCTCAATCCGCTCGAGCCGGTGTGGGTCACGGCGGCAGCATGTTGAGTAGGCCGGTCTAGACCTCCCTGTCCCTGGCAACAGACTCCAGCACTATATTACTATACACTCTACACTACTATACATAGACTCTAGCTCTTTCCGGGGAATTCCCAGGCGTTCCAAGGCCAGCCGAGCGACATCGTCCCGTCAGCGTGTCCTGGGCCGGCCCCGGGGTCTTCACCCAGCGGGACTTTCCCGGTAGAGTTACAGGGGGAGTCTACCGGGGGGCATCATTACAAGGTGCCCAAACCACCTCAACTGGGTCCTCTCGATCCGGAGGAGCAGCGGCTCGACTCTGAGCCTCTCCCGGATTACCGAGCTCCTCACCCGGTCACGGAGGAGTGAGCCCAGCAGCCCTGCGGAGAAACCTCACTTCGGGCCCCTTGTACCCGTGATCTCACACTTTCGGTCATTACCCAAAGCTCATGACTATAGGTGATTTAGTTGTACTCGGTTGGTGAGAGGAGTTCAAGCATCTCATCATCAAAGCCATTCATCTGCCAGATAATGCTATTATGATTGCGTAAGATTGTGAAGTGTATATTTGTCTGCGTGTCTGTGTAAGCTGACACACACAGAGAAGCGTGGTCTCACTGCGATAGGAATGCGCATTGGACGGTTGTAGGACAATGCCATTGTTTGGTAAAACCCTAGAATTTCTAATAATGAACAGTTTAAAAAAATATGTATGCGGTCATCCAACTTAAAATATCGACCAAAAATATACTGTAAGCTATAGGGGGGGGTGTGGTGGCATAGTAGTTAGCGCACTGCAACTATGAACACGGCCACCATCAGTGTATTCGCGGCCACGGCTAACATCAGTGGCGAATGATATCTGAATTTAGTCTGGGCCTTCCCTTCACCAACATGCACTGACCAGCATGGTGAGGTATGGTCAAACAACATCTCATGATAAAAAACAGTACGTGTGTGAGGGAGGGGGGGGGGTGTATTATCATAATTTTAACTCGGCGATAAAATATTTGTTTTTATTTAAATATTCGTTGTTTGCTTTATATGACTTTAGCCATCCAAGGACAAACTTTTGTTGATAAACACTTTAAATATATACCCCGACGCCTTCTACATTCATCAATGTGCATCGCGCCCTTCAATTATGGCCCAGAAATTATTGCTGCCGTGTTCCAAATACTCCACTAGAGGGTGGGATGAGTCCTGATTGGCAAGCAAAGGCATGATCAGCTCAGAGAAGCGACTGTTTTACACAACGAATGAAATAAATTGTGATGGCCCACGAGGGGAAAAAAAAAACCGCGTCCTCACCGATGACGAAATAGAAGTTGGTTTAGCGATCGAGGCGAGGGTTTTAGCGCGGGGCTGCCCTGCAGGTTGTCTCGCCTCTGTTTATTTGCGTTCAGTAATGAAGGCGACACTGCGAGGAGAGCCAAAGGCGCGCTGTCACCCACCCACCCCCCCGCGCCGTCCCCGAAGTTAAGGCGCCGCATATTTACCCAGACGTGAACCAAACCGCTCATGCTGGGGGAGCTCCCAGCGGTAATGAGGCGGCGCGCGCAGGATTGTCTTTCACAACACGGGCGGGCGTCTGTCCCACACACCGCTTTCTCCCCGTGCAAATTGGTGGCCAGCGGCAACAGCGGGACGCTGCTGCTGCTGTTGCTGCTGAGGGGTAATGGTTCGCACGTCAGACTTTCGCGATCCAGTCTGATTGGGTGTGGCCCACCGCTCGCGCCCAGGCTGTCCTGTTAGCCGCTTTGCTGTTTTGCGTTTCTTTAACTCAATCGCAAATTTCACTACGATCGGGGAATGTATCATTCCTCATTCATTTATGTCTGTGCAGTGTTATTGATTTTAGCCGTGACAACGCAGTTGTTTTTGCGCCGATTTCTACTCGCCTCATTGCTGTACTGTATTGGTATTTGATTAGCTTTTGTCACATTGGTGATACATGTCACTCTTGCAAATGAAAATAGTATAATTGGCGCTAGACACCTAATTCATGAGAAAAATTCGAGTGAGATGGGAAAATAAATGCAGACAAGAGATACGGGAAATGAGATTAGAGATATGTAGGCACA